TTTAACGAGTTAATGAGTTAACGAGTACGTAAGGATTAGAAACCGAACGAAATAGGAGTGAAATGTTGTATATTGTTTTTTTTTGACTAATTACTCATTTTAACGATTTTAAGTATGACATGAATTCAAAAACGTTTTTGCTCATATTTCAAGAATTTTCGTATAAAGATTTTATAAACTAAGTTTGGAAGAATATTTCAAAAAAATCATTTGGACATGATGGTCCATCAACTTAATTTTTGGGGGCGCTTATGACACTTCCAATACGGGAATTGTAGTGAGCATATATACTACCTCCGCCCAAAATACTTGGCCAAATTTTAAAATTTGGATCATGATTTTAATTAGTATAATATTATGAAAGTTAAAATTTTTATACTTTTATGAAAGTATTTTTAATAAAGAACACTTTTATATCATTTTTATATTATAAATAATTTCTAATAAATATATATAATTAGTCAGAGTTTTATGGATAACTCCGCCATGATATCATTTTTTTGGTATCATGCATGTCCCAAGCCAGGATAAAGGAGGAGAGTGCTGTGGTAGGCGTGTGACGGCCAACAGTATCACCTAGTCACATCACATTACATGAATCGAAATATGAAAATTGGTTGTGATATCATGCATCGATTCATGTTAGCCGACCCCAATATCTTTTGGGACTAAGGCTTGGATGTTGTTGTTGTAGTCAGAGTTTTATGGATGACCAAGTATTTTAGGACATAGGTAGTAGAAGAGATGGAGAAAGATGATTATTGTAATTAAATATAGATAAATTAGTGTTAATTAGAAAATGAAAATGAGAAGAGAGATCAAATAAATTGTAAGTTTGTAACCTAAGAGTCCGTTTGGTAATGCCAAAATCAGATGATTTTGCTGAAATTTATGAAGTTCAGACAGAAGTGACTGCATTAGTTGATTCTGTTGATTTATGAAAAAATTATACTTAAAATATAATTTATTAATAACATAAATAAAAAATTATATGAAAAAATAGCTAAAATAGTCCTCTACAGTAACTTCAGCCAATATAGCAAGAAAAGTAAGTCCAACCTTACATTTTCTTATTATTACACAATTCAGTGCGCGAAATTAAAATTTACATGTGGTGAAAATATTGATTGATTGATAAGTTGAAAAACAAAGTTAACAAATGGATTCTAAGTCTTAGATAAGGTTTAAGTATGGTCAAAAAAAGATAAGGTTTAAGTGGATCTTACGGAGGAGGAAAAATAGATTTTTTTCCACTTTTGGTCCCTTGAGTATTATACCACTTCCGCAATACGTACCTGACTTTTAACTTGTCCACATGTAGTCCCTACATTTTGTTCCTTCACCATCCGTCATCCTTCCGACCAAAACTCCGGCCGGATGCATCATTTATTAAAAAAGGGAAGGTTAGTCTAGTAATTTCATATGCTTAAAACGGCTAGAAGCCTAATACCTTACAGGGGAGGTACTCCGCCTACCTACGCTTACTCTCTCACACTGCTACTGAACCATTTGTTCCGGCTGAAGTTCTGATTTTCGTGAATTTGACGAACCCTAATACCTTACCGGTGAATGAGGATGCGTCTGGCTGGAGTGTTTGCAACTGGAATGGGGCGCAGATAGAATGGAGAAGGAACAAGTGCTCAACAAAGTTCTTCATCAAATGTTGATGGTAATGGTAAGTTTGTTGAACTTAAGTACGTAATTTGTTTGTGCATATGGTAGGGTATGGTTTTTTGCTCGGTAGGGTAGGGCTTTGTTGCTGAGAATCCTTTTTGCCTTTACTTTTTCGGATTTGACAAATGGGACCAATTCTTTTTCCTTTTCCCTTTACTTACAATGATTTAACTACCACATTCAATGTTTTTTATGCAGCCCCATGTGATACCACATTTACTCTAAAGTTGAGGTACGAAGGAAGAGTGAGTGAGAGTAGCAGACCATTTTACAGGGGAGGTACTATGCATTTGTTTTCTGATGTAGATGTGGATGAGTTTGGCTTAATTGTGTTGAAAGAGAAACTAGAAGAAGTTGGTTGCACAAAGAAGTTAAGAAAAGTCTTTTCCTATTCAAATTCTTCACTAAATGAACTGAAAGGTGACTCTGAAATATGGTCCTTTGTGAGTAATGGCAGTGTGGGTAAAATTGTGGAGTTATGGCTGGCAGATAAAAATCCTACAGAATGGTCCAAGTCTCATTTCTCTACACACTCCAAAACAGATATGTTAACTAATAATATATGTGAGTGTTTCAATGGGGTCATCTTAGAGGCAAGGCAACAGGCTATTTTAGTATGTTTTGAAAACATTAGGAAGCTACTGGTCACAAAATTTTTAATAGTACACAAAAGGCAGATAAATGGACTACTAATCTGTGCCCTAGAATTGTGAAAAAGTTACAAGACATTGAGAAGTTAGCTGCAGGTTTAATAGGTTATCAGTGTGGTGAGAATGATTTTGAAATAATTGGAATGAGTGGTACACAGCATGGGGTTGATTTAGAGGAAAATATGCACATGCAGGCTGTGGGACTTAACTGGTATACCATGCAAGCATGTTGTGTGAGCTATTTGGTTGAAGTATGGAAGGGGTCCAATTGATGCTTATGTGCACCCATGTTACACAAAAGAATCATATTTGAAGATATATGCTAGCATTATAAAGCCAATGGCTGGAAAAGATGAGTGGCCTTTATCTGAGAAAATTCCCCCACTTCTTCCTGTGTATTATGCCAGACCGGGAAGGCCAAGAAAATTGAGGAGGAAATCAGCTGTGGATCTGAGCAATGATGGAGTGAGAGTAGCAAGGACACACATCAAGATGCATTGTTCAAATTGTAGAAAAGAAGGCCATAATGCAAGGAGGTGTCCTGAAGATCCAAATAACAAAGATAAACTGGTAAATGCACTCATGCTTTATGTTATTTATGTCATTTACTTATTACCACTTATATGTACTTAATTTTATTTGTCTTTAACGATGATAATTTTTCTACACTCAACTTCAATCTAGAAAAAGAAAACCAAAATCTGCACCAAGGCATAGTGGAGGAAGTGTTGATGAAAGTGATAGTAATGAGGATGTGGGAGCACCCAAGGTTTCTCATTTAGAAGAGGACAACCTTGTGGATATCAATATGCAATATGAAGACTTCCCATCTTTAGGAGCTCATTTTTCCTATTGTTGTTTCAGTGGAAGAAACTTCAATGTTCACTCAAGTGAGTGACCAAGAAGCTGAAAAACTGAGTGTCCAAGAAGCTGAAAGAGAGACTGGAGAAGAAACTCAAACCCAAAGTGAGTATAGTGCTGCAAATCAGAGTGATGAAAACAAGATTGATGATGTTGAACAAGAGAAGACCCATGAGTTTGAACGTATAAATACTCATGGGGTCAGGATAAGTTTTGGATCACCCCCTCCTTCTAAGACTTTCACTTCAAAAGCTGCACAACCACAAGGGGTGAACTCAGAACATGGAAAAGCAAAACTCAAAAAACTGGACATAAAAAAAGGACCAACCTATTCTATCATATCCAAAACGACCTTCAAGTCAATATTTTTTGGGGAATGATGCAGACCCAATTGACCTTGGCTAGAGTTTGAGCTCAATCATTTGGAAAGGACTGAAGGGGCTTCAATTTTTTGTAGTGTTTTATGTCAATCTTGAACTTTGTATTTGTCGTTTGGATGTACCATGAACAAATCATGGTTATTGAAGTGTGTTTGTAGTTTGGATGGCATATGTATATGACTATTTTCACCGTGTTTATGGTTAACATGTATTGAAGTGTGTTTGTAGTTTGGATGAGATAGAATACCAGTGTGTTAATGTTTGTAATCTGTTCTTTTAGTTTGGAAGTCATAGTATATGAGTGTTTTTCAGTTTGTGTAGGGTAAACATGTGTATGTGTTGCCCAGATAATGGTAATTGTTTATGTATGTTTTCAGTTTATTCATAGTTTTGGTAACACAACAGATGTAACATTGAATATGCAAGTAAGACAACTTCATAAATACATGTCATCAACATGAGCATTTGTCATCAATACATTTCAAAGCTATTAGCAACATTGTTCTGAATACACACAAAATATGCTACAAGACTATTTGCTATATGCATGCATGGATACAAAAAAAACTAAAACTGTTATAATGCACACGACCAGTCTGGTGCAAGGGTATCTTTTGTGCTCTATCTTCTTCATCTTCTCTTTGTTGTTGTCTGGTTTCTCAGCTGCTTCCAACTTCATCTCCAATGTGTGAATGTGATTTTCATACCCATTTAGTTTTTTTAACAAGCCTGGAATTATTTTCTTGGACCTTTTGCACATTGGAGGGTCGAACCAGTCCATCAAATCACACCCTACAGACCACTGCAATCACATAATACAAATACTAAGAAAATCAATCATCTAAAAAATTAAGGAAAAATTGAAAGCTGCAGCAGACGCGTAATACCTCACTTCCAACGCATTTCCAAAACCTTCTCCCACAGTTTTCTTGTTTCCATGTAGTGAAAAGCTTCAATTCTTGCCCACATTGACAATGTTTGACCGGAATCCACTCTCCATATTCATACCGGCCTGTTGATTTCGAGGTAGCAGAACTACTGCTAGATATGGTGGCCTTCGAGCTTACAGAGGTTGTGGTGTGCGCGAAGACGAAGGAGGAAGACGAAGGAGTAGTTGGTTAGGGATTTAGGTTTAAATGCTGGATAAAGTATGGGTATTAAAGAAGGGGTGGTTACGAAACAGATGGAGTAGACGAGGAAGAAGTTAAAACCGGCCTGTGAAATTACTAGACTAACCTTCCCTTTTTTAATAAATGATGCATCCAGCCAGAGTTTTGGTCGGAAGGATGACGGATGGTGAAGGAACAAAACACAGGGACTACATGTGGACAAGTTAAAAGTCAGGTACATAATGCACAAATGTTATAATACTCAAGGGACCAAAAGTGAAAAAATTTCAGGAAAAATAGATGAAAATGTGTTAAAAGTGATATACAAAAATAAAGAAAAATTCTGAAAATTAAAAACGAAACGCTAACAGAGCACGCGGTTAGAGATGCTCTGAGTAAAATACTGGATGCACGGAGATGCGCCCGAGAGCTTATTAGTTCGCGGCCTCCAAAATCGAAACATCTCCCTAATCTCGGGATCTTCGTATGATCGAGTCGCTCTCCGTAGTTAGTTGACAGGTATGGTATGTCTGATGCATATGTAGTAGATAAAACTGTGGTTTTAAATATTTGGATGTTAGGGTTTCTAGCTTTCTGAATGCTAAATTGTTCTGCATTCAAAATTGTCCTACTATTATTTTCTAATTTTCAAGCTAAAATATTGTGTTGGGGCTGTCTTTATGATTTAATTTAATTACATTGAGTGTAGCTTATAAAGTTAACACATTGCAGATTTATGTTTTGATTTTTATTTGTTTTGTTATTTGATATGCGTTAGAGTTTCTGGATTACCATGGCTGGAAGAGATAGAATCAGTAACCTCCCTCCAGATATACTTGACAAGATTGTGGGGTACTTACCCGTTGTTGAAGCTGCTAGACTCGCTGTTTTGTCTTCTATATTCAGAGATACTTGGTTCAATCTTAAACAACTTAAATTTGATTATGACTTCGATGCTCACATTCAGATGAAGTATCCTGAAGAAAATCCTGAGTTTACCTGGGATACTGGGGGTTTTAATATAGCCAACAAAGTTCTCATACAGCATAGAGGACCAATTCACAATTTTCTTTTGCATTTTTTGGGTGTACATTCTAAAGTGCCTATTGCTGTGTTATTTTCTTTCTTAGATCAGTGGTTTCTTATTCTTACACAAAAAGGTGTTGAAGAAATGGAATTTCAAATTTATTCAGCCCATATGTTCAAGCTGCCAAATTGCACATATACTTGCTCAACGCTCAAGATATTGCGTCTAAGTGGAGTCATCGTAAAACCAATAAATACCCGTTTTATATTTCCAAATGTCACTTCACTTGTTTTTGAGTGTGTTTACTTTTATGATGAAAACCTTTCTGATTGTGGTGTGAACGTCCCAATGCTTGAAAATCTCTCATTTGAGAAGTGTACGAACATGTCTTGTTTTAACATTACTGCTCCTAGACTTCAAAGTTTATCAGTTACAGATGGTCGGAATAACAAATTGGGTAGTTTTCTCCCAGTCAACTTGGACTTTAAATCTATATCTACTTTGAGCCTCAATGATAATTGTCTCAAGGTACACTAGCAGGGACTTTATTACGGAGTATTTTTTGTTGGCTGTTATTCCTTTAAAATATTTTCTTAGGAACTCTTACAACTTGATTCCCATTTAATTTCAAAAGATTTTGTTATACAAGTTACTGGAAGGGGAGAACAAGTACAACCGGCCACACTAAACGTGGAGCACATGAATTTATCAGGTTTCAGACCGTCTTCTTCTTCTTCTTTTGCTTGTTTACTGCAGATATACTTTCAGGTAATTATTGTTTTTCTCAATAAACTATTCAGTGAAGTTGTAGTTTTTTTTTGTTGCTCTGCTTTTCTTTATGCTAGTTTGTTCAGTTAATGATGAACACTAAATGCTTTTTATTTTCCCACTTTTTTATCGTCAGCCACATGGCCACCCACCCCTTTGTCTTCCTGAATTGAAACTCTTGGAGGAGCTTGATGCTGTGGCTCAAACATGCAAATTGTTGCATGTGTTGAAGTTCTGTTTTAATGGATTGGGACCTGAAATGCATTTCATCAAGACACTACTTGCCTCCTTTCCGACACTTGAGAAGGTTTTCATCGTTCGTTACAAACAGTACGGCAATAAGTTTACCATGAAAGAAGAGTTCAAAATCATGAGTGAGCTTTTGCGTTTTCCTCGTGCATCTAAGAAAGCAGAAATTGTTTATACATCTTGTAATAATCACATGTGTGTTGAATGTAATTAGTAATTAGTACTCGGACTTTTTGGTTTTCAAACCAACTGAAGGCAGTTATTAAATGTAACCATCTTATGGAGGTGTATTTCTCAAGTGACTTAGCAGATATGACCTGTTAATCAATTTGGGTTTGATTATTTCCTACTTCTGATTGCATTCTTCTATATTTTCATTAAAAATAATGATGAATGACGTATATAATTTTACTAGCAGTATGTATGCCCAATGTGAGATAGTTCATGTCCAATTAGGGGTGGACCTAGGGATGGACCGGTACCGCTTGGACCGGGATCGGGACCGGACCTTGAGCCCGAACCAGGGGGGTTTTGGGACGGGCGGTTCATGGGCTGCAGCCCTATGGGAAATTGGGAACAGGTCCGGGCCTGGTCTGGGCCCAAAAATGTTTTTTTTTTTCCGAAATGATTGGGTGGTAGGTATCGAAGATTATAGTTATATTTCATTTATATTTTATACCTTCGTGATTGACATATAACAATGGCCATATGCATGATGCATATGTACGTGCTAGACATTCCACCTTACTTAGAAAATACACATGGTAGGATAATTCATGATGTGACATGCAAAGTACTAATACATTGTGTGAGACTTGAATAATATTTCTCAAGAACACTTGCACTTTCTTTCATTTCCAATTTAATATATATTTCTACATTTAATACTATTTTTATCATGGTATAAGAGCCAAATTCTTGAAAAAATAGTGTATTCCTGATCACTCAAAATTCCTGAAAATAGTATCTCTTATCCTTTTATCAAACAATGGCGGTCGATGCTGAGACCAAAGCTAACAGTCAAAATTTCGAGGGCATAGTGATTGATTCTATGTCACCTTATTTCATTCAATCTGGAGATGAGCCCGGAGATGTGTTCGTCACCTCAATTTTACGTGACGGTAACTACGACGATTGGCTCGATGAGATGAGTAATGCCCTTTATGCAAAAAATAAGTTTGGCTTCGTGAATGGTGATATTCCGATGCCTAAATCTGATTCACCATACCTCCCGCATTGGCAACGAGCAAATGCAATGGTGAATGCTTGGTTAAACAGTAGCATGGACGTTGAACTTAGGCAAAGTGTGAAGTTCAAAACGGCCCGGGAGATATGGGTAGATTTGCGAGAACGATTTGAGAAGGAGAGTGCACCTCGAGCATATGAACTCCGATGTATCCTTGGTTCCACCCGGCAAGAAGGTCGGTCAATATCCGCCTACTTTAGCCGATTATGTCGTGTGTGGGATGAGATGGTATACTATCCATCAACACTCAACCAAAATGCTCATGTGAGGGTCACTTGCAACATCTCTAAACAAATGACGGACTCTCGCGATAGAGACCGACTTTACAATTTTTTGATGGGTCTAGATGACGCTTACGGGCAACTAAAAAGCCAAATTCTTGCTACTAGACCGGTTCCCACCCTCACTGCCGCATATCATCTCGTCTCGGAAAACGAACATCACCGATCCATTGCATCCTCTCGCAAGCCGGGCACTGGTGGTGTGGCGTTCTTCACACGACCGAAGATGGAAATCACCCCAAGTCGACGTACAAACCCAAAAGAGGCTAGAAGCTGCTCCTATAGTCCTATTGTGGAAAAATTAATCACACGTATAAAACGTGTTTTGAGAGGCTGGGATATCCTCCTAATTGGAATCTTAAGTCTAAAGTGAATAAAATAATAAGAGGGAGTGGTGAACCCAACATCTCTTTTCAACGGCCGAACATAAGTCAAGAAAAATTCAGCCAATTTCCAACACGTGTTGCACACGTGTACAGCCAGCAAAAATCTGAATTTATATTATCTGATGTCCGGTTGCAACGATTGGCCAAATTTATGAAAGAAGAAATAAAGGACCCAACGTCCGACCAATCCTCTTCTGGTGTCCAAATTAATATGGCAAGTACATCATCAAGGCGTCGTGTTTGGATAATAGACTCCGGAGCAAGTGAACATATTATTTGTAATAATGATGGTCTCGTTGATATTCAAACACATGCATCAATAATCTGTCAAAATTCCAAATGGTGACACGGCTCATGTCCAAGCTATTGGAAGTTTGGATTTATTCAAAGGATAGTTTTATACATCCGAAATTTTAATGCAACTTGCTCTCAGTTAATCGCTTAATAAGTGATTTCAACTGCACACTCACATTTTTTAATGATTTGTGTATCTTACAGGACTTACTCTCGAGGAAGCTGATTGGAGTGGGCCAGTGCCATGATGGTCTATATTATTTGGAATCACCGAGCGTTGAGGGGTTGGCAATGTCAGTTTCCGCTAATCTCAATTTATGGCATCAACGTTTAGGGCATGCTTCGGACAAGCAATTGCATCATATTGGTTTTCCTCGGGGTTTAGGACAGAGCAATAATTTATGTGATTCATGCATACGAGCTAAGCAGACTCGTCTACCATTTACTATTAGTTCTATTAAAACAACTCGTTGTTTTGAATTAATACATTGTGATATTTGGTGAGGATATCGGTGTGATTCAATTTCCGGTGCACGCTATTTTTTAACCATAGTGGATGATTTCACTAGGGCTGTGTCGGTCTATTTAATAAAAAATAAATCTGACGTTCCCCAAATTTTGATTCAATTTTTCAACATGGTGTGTACCCAATTTGAGCAAAAGGTTAAGCGCATACGGGCTGATAATGGTGCAGAATTTCAAACTAATACCTTGTTTGAATATTATAACCAAAATGGGATTTTGTTAGAAACATCTTGTACAGACACACCACAACAAAATGGGGTTGTTGAGCGTAAACACAGACACATATTAGAGGTAGCTCGAGCTCTTCGATTCGAGTCTGGTTTACCTGTTGATTTTTTGGGGGAATGCATTCTCACAACTGTCCATATCATTAATAGACTACCATCATCCTCAATTATGAACAAAAGCCCATATGAAAAATTATTTGCAAAATTACCAAGTTATGATCATTTGCGGGTATTTGGGTGTTTGGTATATGCACACAATAATAAGCAGAAAGACAAATTTGGAGAAAGGGGGAGTCCGTGCATTTTTATTGGGTATCCAAATAGACAAGACTTTTCGGGTATTTGATTTGCAAAAACATACCACATATAGCTCTCTGGGATGTAACTTTTTTGAAGAAATTTTTCCGTTCAAAATAGAGCTGAACGAGGAAGCTGATTTGGCAACCAAAATTGAAAGGGTGTACAATAATATTATCAGATCAGGTATGGTGCTCGCAGGTTCCCAAAAATCTGCCCCGGCATTCCGTTAACCTCAGCCACAAATGCATATGCCCACTAGACCCCCAAGGACAAATGCACCTGCTGATCACCAAAATATCACATTAGGCTGACTGCAATGGAGGGGTGAAAACCCCAAATGTGAGGTTTTCACCCCAAAAATGCTACAACCCAGAAGAATTTTTGTATAGGAAGGAGTGATAGGGAGTCTGGGAAACCTTGGGGGCGACTCCTGGACGGCAATTGCCTCCGGCCTCGATGCGACTTGCGCAATGGAGAAATTATGATTCATACTCCTCTCCATTTCTTTCTCTCCATTTCTTTTTCACTCTATCTCTCTCCTTAAAAAAATAATTAAATCTCATCTTTTCTTTCTCCCTACCCCACCATTTCCCCATCTCACTCATCTTTTCTACTCCCTCCGTCCCGCTAACAATGGGACAAGAGGGAGTGACACGCAAATCAATAAAAAGTGGTTTATGTGATTGATATTGAATTGATAAAGTAAAAATAAAGTAAGAATGATTTAGAGTCACAAAAACTTTGCCAAATTTGATATGAAACAATCTTAGTGAGACGGATCGATAAGATAAAATTGGACAATCATAGCGGGACGGTGGTAGTATCTCTCTCCGCTAATCTCACAGTATGTCACTGGGCTTTTAGCTATGCCACGCGCCTGACAACATGAGGATTAAAGGAATGGACTGGGTTGCTGCGTGGGAATTAACTGCCGTGTTGCGGCTGAAAAGGGAGTGGGTGACCTGGCTTCTTGACCTCATTTGAGCAGTTCGTATACCGTGGGAGCGGCCCATATTGAGCATCCTACTCCCGCGGCAAAACGACGTAGCATTAAATTAAAAAAACGCGCACACAAACCAACAGATTCTTTCTCCCACCTTTTCCCTCCAGCGGTTATGCTCTCAACTCCCGATGTTTTACATTTACGCCTTTTCGAAGTTCGAAATCCAAAAGTCTACTTTCTGAAAAAGTCTCGCTCTACATTTCTTCTGAATCAAGCAAGTTCGACGAAGTGTTTTTTTTTTTAAACAAATCTCTGCAAAGAAGACAAGAGATTAAGTAAAGGCTTTCACCGGAGCAACTTGAAGATCAAGTTCAGCACCAAGTACAACCAAAATGGTTAGGGTTAAGGAAAAATCGGCTATCAGGTATAAGCTATAACATAGACTCAAATATTACTCAATGCGATTGTTTTTTTGTTATGAAAACATGTGTATTATGCCCTGAAATATGTTGTTTACATGTAAATACAAGCAAAGTAATTTTTGGTTCATAATCCGCATCTGACTGTATTTAAAAGGTCAAAATCCCGGATGTTTACTTAAGTTAACAAGTATATACAATCTATAAGGTATTATTTGATAGAAAATGTTGTCCAGAGAACATTTTTCGAAGTGCTTGTGTATGGTGTAACTTCATTGAGTTATTATGTAACTTCTTTATGATAAAATGTCACTTGCTATTTATCTGCAAGTATTGGAGCCATATTTGATTATTGAACAACTTGTGTAACTTATGTAAGTACAGATAGAATTTATGTAACATAAGTATATTAATATGTAACTTATGTCAATTCTTAGTTACATGTAACTTTGGGATATAACTTATGAAACAAGTGTATAATATTATGTAACTTATAAAAATTGGTCATTATAAAATTGAATTTTACAATTGTATTTATCCAATGACTGCTACTATACTGCCCAGAATTAATTATTTAACAGCTGGCGTGTAACATGTAACTACAAATAAAATAGATGTAACATAAGAATATTAATATGCAACTGTTGTGAGGACTTGTGTAACTTTTGAAATATAGAACTGAATCACATCCAAGGGCATAACATGTAACTTTGAGTTATAAATTATGTAACTAATGTATAATATTATGTAAATGCTGCTATGAGTTATATAAATTAATAATGTTAGCTTAAATTGATTATGACTTGTGAATGTTATTCTGTATAATATTAGGAATACAAGAAGCAATGAAACAGAACAGAATGAGAAATTTAAAATGGAAATAGGTGTATAATATGAATGTTATTCTGTATAATATTAGGAATACAAGAAGGAATGCAACAGAAGAGAATGAGAATTTTAAAATGGAAACAGCTGTATAATTATGACTTGTGAATGTTATTCTGTATAATATTCTGTGTTATTAAGTTGAGGTGTAACTTCTGTTATTTGAGATGTAATTGATGTTAACCTGATATGTAACTTTTGTTTATTGAAATGTAAATGTTGTTAATTTGATATGTAACTGCGGTTTATTAGAGATGTAATTGCTGTTGAATTCAGAAGTAATTTGAAAAGAACCTGCTATTCAATCAATTGTTTACTAACCAGTGTTATTGTCTTAGTTATTGTCAACTAATGTATAATATTATGTAAATGCTGCTATGAGTTATATAAATTAATAATGTTAGCTTAAATTGATTATGACTTGTGAATGTTATTCTGTATAATATTAGGAATACAAGAAGCAATGCAACAGAAGAGAATGAGATTTTAAAAATGGAAGATTGTGTACCAATACAGAGTCAAGAACCATTGCAACTGTTGACTTATGACAAGCCAACTACAACCAGAAAAAGAAAAACAGTTGTAATATCACATGAAGAATCCAAAAAGAATGATGAACAAATAGATGGAAACAGTGCTGTCAACTTAAGAACCAGAGTAGGACCAGCTCCATTTATCAAGTTGATTAAATTGCTTGATGAAAATAAAAGAGCAGCAATTGAAGAGATTGGCTTTGGAGGTCTGCTGAACCTAAGTTTTGACAAATTTTATGGAGACTTTGTCCAATTTCTATTGCAAAGTTTGCGACCAATATCAGCTCAGCTACAACTCACAAATGGTGAGTTGTTGGATATTGAAGAACAAGATGTTAGAGCTGTTTTTGGTTTGCCGATGGGAACGATTGATGTCGAGGAAGCAAATGCCAAAAATGAAAGTGAAGAGTACATTGAATTGTTGAAGCAGTGGAGAGAGTACTGGGGAATTCAAAAGGGCAGCCCAGAGACAACAAAAATGATCCAAAAAATCATTGATGATGATGATTGTGGAGATGTTTTTAAGAGAAATTTTGTGGTGTTCACAGTTTCATGCCTCATCAGAGGCAATCAGAGTATAAAGAGCAACTTCAAGATCTTGCTCTCTCTGATAAAAGTTAATGAAATCAAGAACTTGAACTGGTGCAAGTATGCAAGACGATCATTAATGGATGCTGGAGAAGAATGGCAAGCTCAGCCAACAAAGATGTTCACTGGACCGTTGTTGTTTCTGATGATTTGCTACTTCGATAGAGTGCAATTTAAAGGTCAGGTTTTGGACACTCTTTATCCAACAATCAGAATCTGGAGCAAAGAAAGAATTGAAAAGAGAATAAAAGATGAGAGGAAGTTGGGATTCGGGCTCGGGAAGGTGATCCCACGAATTATGATAGCTGATGAAGAGAAAGAAGAACGAGAAGAAAATGAAGAAGCCAATACAGAACAAAATGAAGATGAAGAGATGATATCTAAAGAGATAAATTTTAAATAAACACTATATCTAGGTTAGTTGCTTCACTTATGTCACTGGAGTTACACACTATGGAAGTTACATACTGTTGATCATTACTTACATATACTTGAACTAAAGTTACATACAATTGATCATAAGTTACATTGCTTATATTTCATATCTAATGGTATATGAAACTTACAAATGAAATTTAATTTTTGTAGGACTGTGTCAAAGAAATAATTGCTGTTGCACAGAAGTTCAGCGATGCTTTTGTGGAATTCTCAAAACTTCCAGCAACAATTTCTAAAAGATTTCCCAATTCCGATATCTTGAAAAAGATATACTTGACAACAGCTGATTACTTCTTCAGACAAGCTAATGGCAGTGCCAAGGAAT